CCAAAAAAAAAAAAAACTTTTTAGTTCTTTAAAGATTTAAAGCTGCGCATACAGCTAGAAAAGACGTGTCATTCCAAACGGCTCTTTCAAGGCTCCTTTTGGCTTTGCTTCCGAGGAATATGGGATTCGTGCGGAGTGTCTCTAACAGGTTTGTGTCTAAAAGTACTTTGTTGGGCCCCACATTGTCTGGATTGTAACGTGAGCGAGATGAGCCCTTTAAGTCGTACACTTTAGAGATGTTCCTTCTGAAGAACAGATTCTCCATTACCATCACATCCATTTTCACGTCTTTCCCGCCTTTCAACTGTTTGACAGTAACCTGTAAATTACAAACACATAAAAATCTTGAAATTACAGATTTCGAATCACAACTGCTTTCAGAATAAATGATTTAATGGAGCAGAAGTGGAGCACTCGACTGACGATCAAATTTGTTTGCAAATCGAAGCTAAGCGTTTATTTAAATTTTAGTTAAAAGAGTGTAGTTTTGGCGTAATGAGGCAAAAGTGTTTCATTTGTTGGTAAAAAATCAAACAATTTTCAGGCAATGTTAATTATAAAATAGAAAAAATTGCATTTTTAGTCCTGCTGGTTTAACGCCGTAGCATTTTTAGTCCCAAGATTTCAACTTTTTGACTTTTTTGATCCTGTAATTTAAGTATTTTGCTGCAATTTCAGTCAACAAAATTTAAAATTACAGGACTTTAATTGCTAATAAAAAAATCCATCTAAAAGATTTTTTATTTAGTCCTGTAATTTTAAATTTTATTGCATTTTTAGTCCCAAATGACTCAAATTGTGTTGAATTTTAAAATCATAGGACTAAATAGCGAAAATGTTCAATTCTTAGAGACTAAAAACGCCATTGGATCAAACCAACAGGACTAAAATTGCAATTTTGCCTATAAAATATCGTTCATACCTGATAAATACCGAGAACTTTGGCAAGGCAAGTCGGACCTCCGGAGCCAATCGCATCCGTCAAATACTTAAAATACTCGGGCGCAAATTCCTCGAACGACTCCAGCTCAGTCTTAGTCACCTGCTTAATTATAAACCGTTCGTCAAACGACTTTGCGAAATACACATTACTCTTTCCTCCTTGAGCACTCCATCTCCTGCACCGGCTCAAAGATCGAACAAAATCCACTTGTCTCGGGCAGCATTTCCTTCTCAGAAAATCAAATTCCCTCGCGAAATAACACGTCACCGAGAATCTCGTCCTCCCATCCTCGAAAAAAATCCGGACATGCGGAGAGTTATTCTGCACGCTCTCGGGAGAATTTTCCGAGTCCAGCGAAATTGTCGAGAGGTCCCTTAAGTTTTCAATCCAGTCCTCGTGCTCTCTCGAGCTCAGCGCATACGAAATAACGCTCGAGGGCTCGTCTTCGTAAACGGAAACAAAAACGTCGTTATGCGCGGGGATTAGCCTCACCCCTTCAGGCAGGGCAGGGACCCGCGAAATAAAATACGGAGAAAAAATATTATTTAATTTTTGGTCCTCGTGGGGAAATATTTGCGAATAAGTCCTTTGTACATAGGTGGGAATATTGACGGGATCTCGGACCATGTGTCTGTAGTCTCCAGAGGCGTGAAATGAGCGGAGGTTCGAGAGGTAGAGAGATGAAGGGGGAAAGCCCTTTTGTATCCTTTCCTGAAGCCTTTGGGCAGAGTCGAACGAGTAGACTCTTGTGGGACCCATCACTCTCTTCAAAGACGGGATTTTTTTCTTGGCTAGAGCCAGGTCAGCGCTTCCGGACCACGCGGAGTCAATTTGGTCAGAAAGGAGTGATGCAGCCGAGGGGGATCGTTCGAGGGACGTCGAGGTAATGCTGATGTCATCGTTGAATTTTGGGGGCTCGGGCATGTTATTTTCTGAAAGAGTTGTTATTAGGTCAATGGGGAGTTTTGGATTGGAAGTCTTGAGGAGAGTGTCGAGTAAATAAAGCCTACGGTCCCAAATGCGTGAGCCGACCAAAAGAGAGTGTCTCAGGCGGTTTATTTCCGAAATGTCGATTGGCGGTTGGTCGTGATTTTGGGGAGTTTCGTCGGCTAGTTGGAGCAAACCCTGTGAATAGAAAACGAGACGAGTTTATAGTATTATTCGTGTAAGAAGGATGTAAAAAATTAATTAATTCATTTGAATTTTTTTTACTTACTTTGTAACAGCTTTTTTCTTCGGAAAGCATGTTGTTCAGCTGTAGGATATGGTCGTGCAGCTCGTTTGCATCCGGGAATTCGTCGGCAAAAGATAAACTTTTGACTCTGAATTCTTCGAGAAAACCCGATACCTCAGCGTGAAACGCTCTTGCCTTTCTCAGAAGCTATAAGACAGTTGGAAATATATATTTTTCAGGATTGCTTGTTTTTTGTTCTTCCGAATAATAATACTGATAACAAGAACAGCTTCTCAAGATCTAACATACCTCATCCAGCTCATCTCTCACCCAGCTTTGTTCATTAGGACCACAGAACTCAAGAATCGAAGGAGGCAAACGAACGGAGAGGATGTCGATCGGAGAATATCGGAAGAAAGCAACCATATTGCCAAAACTGTCAAATAGCAAAGGACATTAAAATTATTATTTTATATAGAGGAAAGAAAGGACGAAGAAAATCAAAGATTTCGCAAAAATTCATGCTTTGAAAAGGAATGTTGAATTGTTGCAGAAACTTTGGGCTCGCTTGTTTACAAAATAATCCGTCCAAAATGAGTTATTTTGGTTAAACATAGTTAATTTTGAAAAAGGTGATATGGTTAGCTATTAGTGGAATTTTAAGAATGTATTAAAATAATATTTAAAGTAAAATGATTAAAATTGATTTGATGTAAAAGTAGGAAATAAATATTGGAAATGATAGGTAGTTAAAATTATGCGAGTGGATGAATAGTGAATTAAAGTTGATGTAACGTGTAAGAATGATTGGATTGATTTATATCATTATATGAATAATATTAAAGATAGTGGGGTTGAGTTAAAATTGAGTTAGATTTTGAGTATGAATTGAATGTGTGTGAAATAACTTATAAACATGCATGCCCTTAACTTACCCATAAAACCTGAGGCAGTCCCTTTGCAGTGAGTGGCCACAGCCCGCAACACGATTGCCTGTCGTATGGCTCGAAAAACTAAGTTCTAGAAACTTCCCAAACGAGAGCCCCCAGGCTGCATCAGACATAACCACCCGCTGGACAGCTGGCGGGACCCCGTCCACGTAGGCACACCTGAGGCACCTATGCCACATCCATATCTTTCCATCTTCTTCCCCGGGAAGCTTAACCGAAGGCAAGCACTTTACATTTATCGTGAGATTCGCATTCTGATGTGTATAGCACATCACGTGGGCTTCAGCGGGATCCTTGCACGACTGGCACACATTCGACTGCCAACACAAAATTGGGAT